ACAGTCGACGGTGTGGGCTTCCAATTTCTCGTTGGAGCTGAAGTAGTTCAAACATCTGCAAAAATAAACGCAAATATTATAAATTTTTTATACACAAAATATTCTGTATATTATTAAAAGAACTATAAGTACTTACCGATTGCAAAAGTATTTCCTGTGCTCTTTTTTACTGATTTGCGAGCTTACGAAGCGGGATAGGTTCTTGATCCATGCAAAATGTCCCACGTTGTCGTGATGCACGTACAGCAGATTTACGTGTCTGCCCATCTTTCGGTCAGTAACACGTATTGGTAGGATTGCAAGTTCCTTGTTTTTTTTCTCGATACTGTACACGTTGATGGAGATGTTGTTGTGATTTCCAAATTTTTTAATTTGATCCAACGTCATTGGAAACTCAATGTCCGTAAGATTTAGCACCGACGTGTAATGAGGATACGACGATTCGCGTTCTGCGTGTCTCTCGGCTGGATACAGAGCAGCCACTACTGACCATGCGAAACATGCATTGTCCATTGATTGCACGTTTATCGCCGCCTTCTTCTTTTTAATTTCTTGCGGTATTTCCACAAAACACCCCGCGTGCAACGGATTGTATTTGTTTACATTTACCATTAAATTGAGTATACGCGACAACGCCCATCCGCTATCACGTTCCTGGAATTCCTCCAGCTTTGCTAAGGTAGGCTCGATGACGTGTCGCTTGTACCACTCGTGCAGATCGGACTCACGAAAGACTTCATAGTTTCTCGTTGCGATACTTTTATTTGCGCGTTTGTCACCCGCAACAAATTCACCATTAAACACTGTGTTAATTTTTACATTGTCATGTCGTTGCATGACGTTCCGCACATGACTGAGTACAATTTTTGTCGCATTTATAAGAAATTGATGAGGGTCGATGTGTTTGGAATTTATTACCGCACCTGTCAATATACGACTTTCAAAAGCCGGATCTATCTCACGCCATCTGAGTCCTGTCTTACTCGCACTGTATCCCGCACCCACATGTACGAAACGTTGACGTACCAAGTCTTTCAAACCTTCGAGTCTTGCGATAAAAGCGACCAACGACTGTTTGAGACCGATCGATGACTGATTGATTGATAATCGTGGCCGTTTAATTCGGCTTTGTTCTTCCAACGATTCGATAAACTCGTCGCATCGTTGCTCCCACGCGGCAAAGTCTTCCCTCGAATTTAACAGGGTAGATTGCTCCAACAACTCTTGCTCCATGTTATTACACGATCCTCTTGCTAACGCCATTTGTTGCACTCACGACTTCCAGTTCTCGACTATTGAGCGTATCCCCTAGATTCGTCATTTTATATTCTACTAATGATGCATCGTTTGCTTATCATATCTAATTTCATCTCAGCAGCCGTACATCGGCGCTATTTGCAAAATTTGCAGTTTTGCACGTGTTCGATGAAATCATTGCGAGACACGTACGTTCACGAAAACGCGCCATTGACTTTTGGTGATTTGATCTGTATCAATGCAGCGGCCGTACATCGGCGCTATTTGCAGTTTTGCATGTGTTCGATGAAATCATCGCGAGACACGTCGCGACATGTTCTTAAAAACAATAACGCTTCATTGACTTATGCGAAATTGCAAAATTTGCAGTTTTGCACGTGTTCGATAAAATCATCGCGAGACACGTCGCGACATGTTCTTCAAAACAATAACGCTCCATTGACTTATGCGAAATTGCAAAATTGGCAGTTTTGCACGTGTTCGATGAAATCATCGCGAGACACGTATGCTCTTGAAAAAAAATCATATTTGATGCCCGATGAGGTGATCTCATCACGAATGTTCTTGACAAAGATATCACATTTAACGTATATGTGGATTGTGGTGGCGGTCACCATGCAGCAGCCGTGCATTGGCGCTATTTTTGCAAGATTTGCAGTTTTGGGTATGTATAAATGGTCTACGTGAATTCTAGAGCGCAGTCGAGAGTTCGATACGGTTCGAGTAAGTTGCAATAAACAGCCTCCAGATACGATGAACACTCACGGTGCGAACTACTACGTTCCGATTCAGGACGAAACGTGTAGGAAACAGCACAATGAGTAAGTACCGCTAATTTTCATATATACTTGTGCAAAAAAAAACTTTTATAAACATATAATTGTATTTTTTCAGTTTTGATAAACCCCGCTACACACCACGTATTTTGGGAAGGAGATTTGCCTTGACATCAACAGCGTATAAATTTTTGGATGTTGGAATCAACGCGGGACTTATGTCCTCTGTGGATATACTTATTGGCGATAACCGAGGCAATCGGATAATTCTGCCACATGCAACGTGGGTGACATTCATAAAAAAACGTGCAGATATACAGCGACTCGTGCAGTCATCGTTACCATCACCGCTAACGTTTCGAGATCTGGAGCTTGTTAAAATACGTGACGCAGATATTGTAAAATTGACGTCGCGCGGCACCAGCTTGTACATAAAACCATCAACTGTACTCTTCCTGTTCGAACTAGAACATTGTGTCGAGAATGTGTATTTTCAACTATGTCAAAATGTTCACTGCGTAAGTGAAAAATTCAAACAGTTTGTAACAATTTTAAGTCAAAATTTTATTACCGATAAATGTAACGCAGTTACAGTCTTGCGTGACGTTTATGATAAAAATTCGATTATTGATTGCGAATTATTAGCCTACGCTTTGGATACTATTGTGTATAATGCGCTACATGATAAATAAATGTATATAATATGGTTAAAAAGTTTTTTCTTTTCATTTACCGTTCATCCCATTTCCTGTCATAAAGCTGTCTTCGTTTATCGTTTACTTAAATGTAATATTAAAAATTAAATGTCGCGAAAATCTGAACGATTAAATATCGCTGGCGAAGAAAAGATACGTGATTGCGCGAGGGAAAGAGACCGCGAACGGGGCCACGAGCGAGAACGCGAACGGGGGTCGGGAGCGAGAGGGACCGCGCGCGAGAGAAAGAGACCGCGCGAACGAGAAGGCTCGCGCAAACGGGGGGGGACGGGGGCGCAAGACACCGCGCGAACGAGAAGACGAATGGGGGACGGGGGAGAAACATCTACGGGTCCCCTCGTCCCGCGGCGCCCGAAAACGCAAACGCTCTGCGGCGCGGCGGAAACGCTGTCGCCCTGCGGCGCCGGAAAACGCGGACCACCTCACCCCGCGGCGCCGGAAAACGCGGACCCCCCTCGCCCCGCGGCGCCCGAAAAACGCGATTTCCCCCTCCCCT